GATTCCTTTCTCATTAAGAAGAGTAGGCATTATGAATTCAATACCATTATCTGTCCTAATAGCCTTAATACTTCCAGAGAACTGATTTTGGACATAATTACAGAAGTTTTGAAAAATGTTCTTAACTTCTGACTTATTCTTCATTAGGTGCAACCAGGTAAACCTACTGAAATCATCAACTATGTTTAAAAAATAGTGTTCACCCTTTAATGAAGCATCAGCAAATGGACCCCACACATCCATATGCAATAAATCAAAAGATTTCTGAGCTCTGGAACTGCTAACAGGAAAAATTAACCTTTTATGCTTGGCAAAATGACAAATCTCACAAACCATGTCAACAGTTCTAGCAGGAAGAGTAATGTTTATTCCTTTCAAGAAGGGGATCTTATTAACAGGGTAGTGTCCTAGTCTATCATGCCATACATCAATGCTGATGCTATTACACTGTGATCTCACTCCCTTATCAGGCACCTGTTTTCTCAATCTGACAGGGGGTCTAGCAATCAAGTAGAGTCATTCCTCTTCCTTAGCAAAACCATCCACTCTTCCAAGAGGTCCCTAAATATCACAACAATCAGGTCTTATAATGACTCTACATTCTGCCTGTTTGGTTAGTTTACTTGCAGATACTATATTGAAAGCAAAAGTTGGGATGCATAGTACATTCTGCAGTAAGATATTGTTATCCAATTTCACCTTCCCTACATGAGTTACTTCAGCAGTTTTTCCATTAGGAATTTTAACAGAGATTCCAGAGACTTGATAACTGCTTTCAAGATATTCTAATGAACATGTAATGTGATCTGTGGCACCAGAATCTAGTATCCACACATCAAGGGAATTCTGAAAAGCATTGATGTATAGGTTACCTTCATTATGATTCTCAGCAAGCTCTTTAAAATCTGCTGTGAGTCCATGGTTAGTGAGAGCAACAACAGCATTGGAAGGTGTCTGATTGGCTTTATTCTGATTTTGAAGAAGGACCACCAGCCTTTGAAACTGATCATCAGATAGGCCAGTATCTCCAACCTGATTTACAGATGTATTCATGGAATGCTGTCCATCTTGATTGCTTTTGAACTTAGTCTTATAACCTGGAATCCACCCTGGTGGATAGCCATTCTTTTTGTAGCACTTCTCAATAGTATGTCCTAACATACCACAGAATGTGCACTTAGGCACATTTTTTGCTCCATTATTGTTGAATTTCTTCTTATTGTTTGATGATGAGTAAGCCACAACATTTGGCTCATCTATAGCTTGTGTTTGACCACTGTTTTGAGCTGCATTAGCTTGAATTAGGTCAGTAGCCTTTTGATTAATGGTTCCCTTGATTTTCCTTTCTAGCTTCAAAGCCATAATGAACACTTTTCCCACATCTGGCATAGGATCCATGACAAGGACCCCTGACTTAACAAGCTCATACTCCTCATTCAGACCTTCCAGAAATCTGATGACACAATCATCTTCTCTTTCTTTCTGCAACTTTTCCATGAGAGTACACGAGCATCTAGGTGTACACTCACACAAAGGCAAGGGCCTCAGGGTGCTCAGTTGTTGCCACAAAGAGTTACACTTGGTAAAATACTCATTTACAGACAAATTTCCCTGCACATTCTTATAAATTTCGTTTTGTACTTCAGATATCTTATTAGAATCAGTTTGTGAGTACCTTCGATTGAGTGCACTCCATATTTCCGAAGCTTTGTCAAAGTACATGACGCTTTCAGCTATGGCTGGACTGACAGATCTCAGGATCCAAGAGCATACGATGCGGTTGCATCTCCTCCATGCTGCATGTCTTGGATCTCCCTCATTAGGACTCAGAATGGCTCCACTGACAAAATCATATTTGTTTTTTTACTTCTAACGCCATTTTCATAGCTCGATTCCAGGATGGATAGTTAGTCTCACTCAAAATTGGAGAAACTAGGATGGTGTTTGGATTTTCTGTGATATGTAAATAGTAAGGATCGTCGAACTCAACACTGTGTAGATTCAACTGGTTTTGATTCAATGATCCGGCTGGCTGATTACCACGATCATCTCCTCCTGCTACATTTTGCGTCATTGTTACAGCAGCGTAGCTTCTTCTCTGCTCTGATACCATGATCAAAACAGTGTTGCATGGTTGCAAGGGTTTGAGAGCTTCATCTTGGTGTAAGAATGGAAGCAATATGTTATTCAGTATATGGTGAATCTCGACCTTACAAGCTAGCCAAGCCACATGCTTTATACAAAGAGAAAAGAGAACAACAGATAAGAAAAGCGGTTATAACTAACTCTAGAGTGAAAAGACAAAAAAACCCTCAAGGCTTATTACAACAGGAAGAAACAGAGAGAAGAAGAATCACTTGGCTAGCTCATTAGGTGTGCTATGCTTCATCACTTTAACTATTCTTACTTCGACAATGTGATTTGTCAATCTTGTAATGATGAGCCGCGTCCGTTACAAAAACAAAAGAGTGCTCTATGTTCCGCAATAATATAATAGGTGTACTGACCTTTAATGTTAATGAATAATTAGAGAGACCCGATAATCTCAAATTATTTACGAATTCAGTAGTGTGTCTATCGCCAGTAACTTGACCAGGAAATATTAAGTTTTTAAATATATAATTTGAATCAAAATTGCTACTACCTTCATATTACATGACAAAATTTTCCTTGAGTGGTAACGCATTACGCCATTCGCAAATTATGCCCTGGAAACGTGTTAATGGTGAACACGGGTCGAAACAGTGTCGTTTTTACGGGAAAAAAAATTAGTTAATGTGCTGTTAACGGCGCGCGTTTGTTTAAATTATGAATTTTCTGTTATGAGATTACGAATGTACTGTAAATTCATAATCTCATAACAGAAAATTCATAATCGCATAAAAGAAAAACATTTATTAAATTATGAATTTTCTATTATGAGATTATGAATTTACAGTTATGTAATTATGAATTTTCTGTAAATTCGTAATCTCATAACAGAAAATTCATAATTTCATAACAGAAAATTCATAATCGCATACCAGAAAATTCATAATCTCATAACAGAAAATTCATAATTTCATAATAGAAAATTCATAATCTCATAAAAGAAAATTCATAATTTCATAACTGCACATTCATAAATCCATGCTTGCACATTCATAATTTATGAATGTTGAAGAAACTTGCGTGAAGAGGAAGTGAAACCGCGAAATGTGAAAATGAAGAAAAGAAAAGTCGCGCGGTTAATTAAGAAAAAAAAAAATAAAAAAAAAATAACGGTGGTTCCATGGCATAACGATTGTACGCCATATCCACCACAAGCATCTCTCTCAAGGGGTTCCATGGCATAACGATTGTACGCCATTTCCTCCACAAGCATCTCTCTCAAGGGGTTCCATGGCATAACGATTGTACGCCATTTCCTCCACAAGCATCTCTCTCAAGGGTGCGAATTGTTATTACCCACCAAAAGATTTTTAAAAAAATTGTGATTTTAGTAATTGAAAGCTTGCTAAATTTGTAAACTATCAATAAATTGTGGCATCACAGTGCTATTTGACAAGGTAGGCTCAATTGAACTTTTTTTTTTTAAATTAATATTTTATAGTTATCATATTATATAATTTAAATGTGTGTGTGTGTCTATATATATATATATATATATATATATATATATATATATATATATATATATATATATATATATATATATATATATAGTGTTGAGTTCAAATGAGAACCACTATACTATAGAGGATTGTGCGGACTGTTGTAGTCGTGTGCTACTAATTTGTATGTCGTGTGCATGGCCTAATGTAGTCGTGTGCCATAGTTTGTATGTCGTGTGCATAGGTTTGTTAGTTAATAGAGTCTGGGTTCGAAACCTGATGTTTACAAATATTCTTGTGTACCATTGTGTATTAAATTGTGTGCATGATACTAATTTGTTGTGTGCTCGTAATTAGTCCGCAAAATCCTCTATATATTGTGGTCCTCATGTGAACTCAACCCTATATATATATATATATATATATATATATATATATATTATATTTACTTTACATAAATAAATGTGTGTCTTTGTATTCAATTTTTACTGTTGATATAGTTGAAATTGATTCAAAATAATTTTAAATGTATTTGAATGTAATTTATGTAACCATAATTTTAATAATTTAAATGTATTATTTTTTAATTTTTTAAAAAATTATTCTTATTTTAAAAAAATTTCTAATTTTATGATTTATGAAATGCAATTTATTTGAACATCTATAATCTATAATCTATAATCTATAATTCTATAATAACAAAACCCTAAACTTTAACTTCCTGCGTAAAATCCTCAAATTTTAATATATTATTTCTACTTTCCTATTTGTACTCTAAGTCTACATTAAAATTCATATTCTAATATTGTAAAATAATGTAATACAATTCCTAATAGAATATATTCTTTCATACGTTCGTACTATAATTTCTACATTAAAATTCGTGTTCGTAATATAATACAACAATATTAAAACAAGAGTTATTTACCGAAATGGTCCCTCGACTATTACGAAATTATCAATTTGGTCCTCGACAATTTTTCTTACCCAATTAAGTCCTTGACTTTAAAAATGTTAACTATTTTGGTCCTCCGTTAAATCCGGCTTTAAAAATCTGTTAAATTGGAAGGCATTGATGTAATTTTGCCCAATTAATTCAGAGACGCAGAGAAACTCAGTGCCCATGAAGCGTGAATCTCATAATTTTTTTGGTCACTATTTCTTGGCCTCAAAAGCTGACCGGAGAGGGAGGTGGTTGGTGATGGCGGACACCTCCCGCAGAGGCAAGCTTGGCGGTGATCTCCCTCGGCTTGGAATTCCCTCTCACCCTGTCCACACCCAGCTTTTAGCCTCTTAACCGCAACCTCTTTTCCATTAGGAAGAACTCCTCGATGCACATAGCTAAAACCGCCTTGTCCAAGAAGGTTAGCATCGGAGAATCCATCAGTTGCCCTCGTCAATTCTTCATAAGTGAATGTGCTCTTCGAGAAACCTAAGGCCATATCCGGTGAAGGTGGTGGCAGTGGATTCGAAGACCCCGAGTAATTGGATGAAGCTCCACTGCTGCTCATGTAAGGCAGAGGTGGGGATGGGGGTTGAGGTGTTGGAACCCGAGAAGGAGAAAGTGGAGGGCGTGACGCCCCGGGAGGAGGAGGAGAGGGCTTCGGAGGAATTGTAACAACATGATCAGAAGGCGGTGGAGCATAATACTGCCATTGTTGCACTTGGCCACCATATGGATTAGCTGGAAAAACCAATATTAGACATGAGTATCAAATAATCCAAGTATAGAAGTTAAAACCAGTTTTCATCAGCATTTGAAGTCTAATCCTAATTGCATAAAACCAAGAAAAAATGGGATATATAGACTCAAAAATTGTGTTGAAAATGATAAATTACACTTATATTCTCATTGTTGGATCTCAAGGGTTAACTTATCCAGATCTAATATATTCCTTAGCATTCGAAACATTGATCCAGTTAACCCTGTTAAACTATAAAGTCAAAACCAAAAAAAAAAACAAAAAAAATGCAAAAACAGCATATTTTTTTTTTAGGGGAAACAGCAGATTTCTTGAAACTAAATATTAAAAAGCAGAAAATCAAGATTTTTGAACAATTGAAGCAAAAAGGTGTCACCTTTAGGCCCAGAAGGTGGTTGTGGTGGTGGTGAGGATAGTAATGTTCATGATCTCTTCTCCTTTTTCCTTCTGCAACATATGAACATCAAACTCAGCACTGCAAGTATCAACACTCCCCCAATGGCTATTCCCACCACCACCCTGTCAATATCCCCGACGATCCACCATCAGACAGCGGAGATGGGGTCGAAGAGCTTCCTCCGCTTCTAGGAGCTGGTGGCGAATTCCTAGTACCAGAAGGCGACGGCGACGAGGGGCTGGACCGCGACGAAGGAGCCGGAGTAGAAGGAGACGTAGAGGGAGGAGACGGGGAATTGGAAGGTGGAGAATGAGTCGACGGCGGAGACCTGTAGAAGTGTATGATAGAGACAGGTGACTCTTCCAATAAAATATATTAAATTACTTTTTTATCCTTCAATTTAACAGTTTATGGATGGAATTTTAACCGAGGATCAAAATGGCTAACATTTTCAAAGTCGGAGGACTTAATTGGGTAAGAAAAATTGGCGAGGACCAAATCGGTAATTTCACAATAGTCGAGGGATCATTTTGGTAATTAACTCTTAAAACAATATTAAAATATTGTTAATTTGTTATTATATTTCGTGCTTTCCGACCCTTTGAATGGAGAAATAAATCTGGCACTACATACCAATCTTATAATTTGTGCACGCAATTCAAAACTGTAAAATAGTATAATATAATTTCAATCTATACTATATATATATATGTGTGTGTGTGTGTGTATATATATATATATATATATATATATATATATATATATATAGGGACGCACTCAGGTGCGAATAAGTGCCCAGGAAGGAAATGCGAACGAATCAGCGCGCGACACGTGTCCAGATCTAATAACTTAAAAAAAAAACGCGGTAGCATTTTCGTAAATAATTGAACATCGAAGTGCAAGTAAAATCTCTTATAAGTGCACCTATTTTCACCTATAAGTGCATGTAATTTTGCCTTGTTAGCATTCACTTTCCGCAACCATTCATGCACCTGGGTGTGCTTATAACTATATGTGCAACTATTTATAACTATAGGTGCAACTACTTATAACTATAGGTGCAACTACTTTCACCTATAAGTGCATGTAATTTTGTCTTGTTAACATTCATTGATCTGAGTTCAGCGGGTAGTAATACTCCTGAAAACCACTCGCAAACATTCATACACCTAGATGCAACTACTTATACCTATGTGTGCAACTACTTAGAACTATAAGTGCAACTAAGTATTGATGCTCAGTGTAAATTTTTACTTGCACCTATAATACATTTTACATGCACTTGTAATACATTTTACTTGCACTTCGATGTTCAATTATTTACGAAAATGCCACCGCGTTTTTTTAAAAAATCAGTGTTTCTCATCCATTAGATCTGGACACGTGGACGAACAGAATCCATTCCTATTTCGCGCCTGGGCGAGCCGTTCGCACCCGAGTGCAAGTCTATATATATATATATATATATATATATATATATATATATATATATATATATATATATATATATATATATATATATATATCCTAAACTTTAACTACTTCTCGTCCAAAATTTTCAAATTTTAATATATTGTTTCTACTTTCATATTTGTATTATAATTCTACATTAAAATTCCTATTCTAATATTGTAAAATAGTGTAATACAATTACTAATAGAACATATTCTTTCATACGTTTCTATTTGTACTATAATTTCTATATTAAAATTCCTGTTCGTAATACAATACAACAATATTAAAATATTATTATAATATTTCGTGCTTTCCTACCCTTTGAATGGAGAAATAAATCAGGCACTACATGCCAATCTTATAATTTATTCACGCAATTCAAAACTGTAAAATAGTATAATATAATTCCAATAGAATATAATGATTCCTTCAATCCGATTCGTATTACAATTCTATATTAAAATTCCTATTCGTAATACAATTGCTATTCGTAATATAATAGGACAATACAAATAAATCTGGCACTATAAATACTAGAAATCTTATAATCTGCCCACACAATTTGACACCTCCATATAATACTTTTGAATCAGCAAATTATAAACAAAAAGAATTTTCGTTCGATTCTTCAAATAGTAAATACTAATGTGATCTGTTTTTGTCTATGCTTCTAGCCTATCCTCCAAGGCAAGAAAAAGTTGTATAAGACTTTGGCTGATGCGCTGTTTTTCGTCAAGGGAATATCCACGTTCCACAGTCAACCAACAAACACGGCAGTACTTACTCCATGATCCGCAGGTGAAAATTATTGCTATAGCTCTACGATTTATAGTACATGTTGATAATTTTGATTTTGTTTACCTAAATGTTTCCAAACAACTTGATTTTGTAGTGCAGTTATACGAAATTAAACATTATTAGAAAATATACAGCATAAAAAAGTAAAATGAGAAAAAATTGAGTTAATAATTACACGAATAACAATATAATTGACTAATAATTATTATGGTAATCAAGCTAATAATTTCTATAATAATAATATATAATATATAATTGGTTTCAAAAAAAAAAAAAAAAATATATATATATATATATATATATATATATATATATATATATATATATATATATATATATATATAAAATGGGGTCCTATTTAAAAGTTTAATTTGATAAAAGAATTAATAAAGTTTAATTAGTAACAAAATGTTATATGAAAATAACTAATATCTATTAATTGGTAATATTCGGCGTAATAATAAAATCTCTCTTTTGAGAGGATCGTCACAGTGGGATTTGAACCTAAAACCTTTTATTTAAAGGGTTACAACTATGTCGATCAATCACAAGGCCTTTTGCAAAAAACAAAAAGGAAAAAAAAAAAAAAAAAGAAGAGATTGTCGGAGTGATAAGAATTTCTTTGTCTGTTGCATACAACCATACAAGTACTGCATTTTCAACGTGAAGAATTGAGTCACTTTTGGGTCACCTTGTTCAGACATGAGTTTTGAAGTTCAATAAAATTTTGTTTAAAAAAAAAATTAATAATAATAAATAAATAAATAAATAAAAACGTGAAGAATTTGCTGTCCTCAAGTCACATAAAAGATTAAATGTCACTGCCAGCACTCTCTCTCGTGGATATTTGCGAAAGTTACATTTGTCTCCTTAGAATTTTATATTTTCAAAAACTAAAATCCTATATAACATTTTACAGCAAATATTATTATTATTTTTTCATCATGAGAGCCTGTCACCACTATTTAATACGGAGTAGTATTTACAGAATAAATCTTGCATTATAACCCTAGCCGGTAAAAGATTATAAGAAAATAACTAGTCTCAGCTTTTTAATAGTTAATCGACTCGATAAATTAAAAAAAAATAAACTAATAAATTGCTCCAGCCAAATCAAATATTAATTGAAAAACGTGCCAATATCACCATTTTAACCAGTAGTAACTTAACCAGCAAATAATATTAAGTTTTTAAATATATAATTAGTATTTTCACCCATGCAATGCACAAAATTGATTTGTCATAATATATTAAGAATATTTGAATCGATATACAATTATTTAAATTATAATATCAAATATTATATAATGCAATTGGAGATATATTTTGGATTGTTTATGTTTCTTGATGTTATCATTGTTTGAATTCGAGCAAATAATTGCTCAAATTAATAGCTAATGTGTAGATGTACGCATGTGGTGCTATAACTTTAGAGATTTTATATATCATTGTTTAGGATTTTTATAAATTAGGCAAATGTACTCGTTCTCTAGCAACTTAGTTATAGTAATCAATTGTTATTCTAATTCATTTGTATAGATGATATAGTTTTGTCTTTATATATATAGCAATTTTGTCATTTTGAAAAAAAAAAAAAAAAAAACATAATATCATCAATTGTATTTACACATTATTGAAAACCTATTTATAAACGACATTGGTAGTCGCAAAACAATTTTGTCCATCATTGTCTAGAGCTAACACCTTCAGGCCATCAGGATGCATGGGTGACTCAGGAGAAAGCTAGTACAATTGTCCATTATTAAATACCAATTTTTTTAGCAATAACCCAACGTGAGTTAGTGTTTGGCCTTGCATTTTGTTGAGAATCATGGCATCTGTAAACATCAACGGAAATTGTTTACACTGGAACTTAACGGGCAATCTCGAATTAGAATTGAAGGAATGAGAGACATTCGGTGGATAAGAACTTTAATTGGTTCCTTCATGTGTCCCTTTAACTATTCTTACTTCTACCATGTGATCTATCAATCTTGTAATGATGAGCCGCGTCCCGTTACAAAAAATAAGAGAGTGCTCTATGTTCCGCAATAACATAATAGGTGTACTAGCCGTTAATGTCAATGAATGATTAGAAAGACCCGACAATCTTAAACTATTTACGAATTCAGTAGTGTGTCTGTCACCAGTAACTTGACTAGCTAATATTAAGTTTTTTAATATATAATTTGAATCAAAATTGCTACTACCTTTATATTACATGACAAATTTTTCCTTGAGTGGTAACGCATTACGCCATTTCCACCGCAAGCATCTCTTTCAAGGGTGCGAATTGTTATTACCACCAAAAGATTTTTTTAAAAACTGTGATTTTAGTAATTGAAAGCTTGGTAAATTTGTAAACTACCAATAAATTGTGGCATCACAATGCTATTTGGCAAGGTAGGCTTAATTTAACTTTTTTATTTTTTTTAAAAAAATTATTATTTTATAGTTATCATATTATATAATTTAAATGTGTGTTGAGCATATTGTTTTCCTGCTGGGTTTTGAACTTTCAAAATCCTTTGGTTTTTTTCTCTTCATCTCTCAACCTTTTCTTATGAAAATTCTTCCAACACTTTCGTAAAATGTACGAAGTGCTCGATCTTTGTTCAAGTTCGCCAGATTTTTGTTTGAGTGCTCAAACATTAAGTCGTGATCCATTTTATCCTGGGAGACTGACGCGACAATGCTCCTAGCACCATCGGGAGGTAACGAATCAGTTTTAAGGAAAGTATGTTACACACGACTTGGATTTCATCTCCTTCTTGTGTTTGGTTTATATTCTCAAAATTGAAAATCCTTTCTTTTCTTTTTATTTATTTTATATAAATAAATTTTGGTTTCATACAAGTGGGAAATGTAAGTGGATTTCGACGCGCTCTATTATAGTCTCAATCTCTTAGCAACTATACTAATTCCTAGATCTTCCATGTGGTTGGGCCCTAGCCTCATGAAAATCAATACAAAACTCCACTTCCAACAAAAATCCAAATCAATCAACACACAAAAGTTTTCTAATTACAATTATAATCACACTAACACCATAGCAAGTAAGTTCTAA